CCCACCCCCATGCCTGCTCCCTCCTCTCTCAGCAGTTGTCCACTCCTTATCTTCTAATCCTCTTTTCTCCCTACGATGATGATAGTGACCCTGTAGCTCCAACTACTGGGTCCTCACAGTCAGTCCACTCCTGCAGAGGAAACTGGAGGGTGACCAGGAACCTTTAAGTCAATGTGGGCCACAGAAAGAAACCGTCTTTAAAAGCTGGTTAAATGCTGGTGGTTTATGTAGACTGGCTTTCTTTAAGCAAATAAAGGAAATGCATTGCTTCATGTCCAGCAAAGTCCAGGGTGGATTCAGGAGAAGCTGGCTCAAGGCATTCCTAGGAGGTCATCAAGGGGCTGCCTGTACCTCTGTCTTCAGGCCAGCATCTTCTGACTTGGCTTTATTCTCAAGCAGGCTGTCATTAAGTGATGGCTTAACAACAATTTAGCAACCGTGGCATGACAGAGAATCATGCCTGATAGCTCCAGCAAAGTATCAGAGAGTCTTCCCCCTTGAGCCAATCACTGTAGCTACAGGGATGTGGTTCTTGGACTAGCCAGGTCTGAGACATATTGCATGGGCCCCTATTTGTGCAGAATTCACCCCTTACTACATTCCCAGAGGGTCTTTGGATGTTTGGTTAGATGGTCTATACTCTGGGGGGATCAATTCATACCAGCAAGATCCAATCAGCCGCTACACCTACCACCGCCTCTCTAGCGGAAGCTGCTTTTGCATCTAATTGTCTTGGGAACTGTGTTGGCTTTCTTTTGCTGCTGTAAGAAATTGCCACAAATTTAGTGGCTTATAATAACATACATGTATTATCTTACAGTTCTTGAGGTCAGAAGTCCAAAACCAGCCTCACTGGACTACAGTCAAGGTGTTAGTTCCTTCTGGAGGCTCAAAGGGACAATCTGTTTCCTTGTCTTTTCTAGTTTCTAAGAGGCTACCTGCATTTCTTTGGCTCATGGCCCCTTCCTCCATCTTCAAAGCCAAGAGCAAAGCATCTTCTCTCCTCTCTGACTTCTGTTTCCATCCTTATATCTTCTCGCTGACTCTGATCCTCCTGCTTCCATCTTAGAAGGACTCTTGTGATTACATTGGGCATACCAAATTGAGAAATTCAGATAATCAAGATCTTTAATTCAATCACATCTCCAAAGCCCCCTTTACCATGTAAGATAACATATTCACAGCCTCTGTGGGTTAGAATGTGGACATTTTCAGGGCATCATTATTCAGCCTACTGCAGGGATTATCCACTCTATTTAAAAACCTGGACTTAGACAGAGAAATAGTGGACTGAAGCTCCTGCACTGGAGTGGGGAATTGTAGATAGTCCTCTAGGAAGGTGACTTTGTACCTGCTTATAGGTTTAGTTATTCACAACAGCAACATTTATTTGCTTCTTGGGTGTATTTAGATTGTCCTTTTTGAGCTTTTTGTGGGTTTTTCTCCACAGAATTGTGTACTCATAAAAGAGGTGTCCATATTGCCTCAAAACCACCAGGTTCTCAGGTTCTGATGAGCCATACCCATTATCTTCCTTCTTCATTTTGTTCATGGCAATTACTTTGTGCCCATCAAGTGGGAGGCAGTGTGCTGAGGAAGTACAAGATTCTCCAAGACATACTCCTTTCTCTTGTGGAACTTATGTCTAATGGAGTAGAAAGGCACGCACGCAATTATTTTTAACCCAAGGCGCAGGATGTGCTAAGTGATATAAAAGTGACAAACTAAGGAGTGGGAAGACAGCAGGAGACATCAGTTACAGCTTCCAGGGGTGTCAGATCATGCCCCCCAATTCTTGGTTCAGAAATATGATCACTATATGCACCTGAATTTCAGGTTATTAACTATTGCAGGCTAAGAATTTTAGGGCTTTAAAAAATAGTATGATGTGTTTTTTCTTCTTTGTCTAGTGTGTTTGGATCAAAACAGGTGCTCAGCTCTGATGATTCATGTGAAATCACTTCTACTCAAGGTTGACTAAAGTTGAGAATGATGAAAATTTTCCAGTCAAAGCAAAAGTTAGGAAGAAAACCTGGTTAGTTTTCTTATTTTTTGCAGAATCTGAATGGATTAACTTCTGTAACCTGGGTCATACTCTGAAAAGGACAGGTTTCCCATGGCTGACCTGCAAATACCCAGCGTGGCTGGCTTTCCTAGTCGAAAAGCTAGCTCTTCCTCACATGTCCTTTTAGGGGCAAAGGGGAATCTCTACTAAGAGCTCTCTCCTGCCCAGAATGCAATTTTAGAAAATACAGCTGACTTCTCTGGGAAAAACAAAACCAACCTTGTCTTACTCTGGTCATGGAAACCAACTTGGCACCTCATTATCGCCTTGTTAGCAAGAACAGGCTGCATGATGGACAAACCTGGGAGGAAGAGTTGGCCCAGTGTGACCAGGGTTTTCAGTTAAGCTTAATTGCTCTTCTAAAGCTCAGCTACTTAATATTACACAAGTCGAAATTTATCGTCAGACTCTTGATCATCCATCCTCCTCTTCCTTCCGTATTCGTGCCTACATAGATATCGGTGCCTCCCCATTCTGCTGCTGTTGAATTTGTGGTGGGTCACCAAAGGGCCCCCAAGGCTTGTTTGCAACCAGCTCGACTCCCCAAAGGAGAACAGGGCTGTAACTACCTTTAGCTTTGAGCGCCCTCTTCCCCCATATTTTAAAATGCAGCTAGCTTGTGCTGCCCTTGGAGCATAGCAGGGCTGCTGGCTGGGGAAGGTGGTGCCTTTTTAACATCTTATAGGCAATTTTTGATTTTTCATGCAAATGAGAAAGAATAAAAAAGGTATTTTATCTGGCTCTCAAATGTGCTTTGTACTTACATTTAAATGTGGGTGTGCCTGACGTTCTGGGAACTCTCTGCCAATAAGACAGTGTAGCAGCTTATGTCACTTGCCCTTTTCCTCCTCACCTGAGCTAGTCCCCAGTCTAAGTGTCCAACAACAGATGAACAGATCTCCTTTTTGTTTCATTATCGTTGGATTTTTACTGTACAGAACCTGTGACAGTAGAGACTAAGGTGTCCCAGTTATGCAGTGTCTACCCTGTACTGCCTAAGCATGCTTATTGTACAGCATGCGTTGTCCATGGCAACCCCAATTTCCAATTTTCCAGTCCCCTTCTTCCCATTCAAATGTCCTAGAATTCCAGTTTATCAACATCCTGAACATATTTCCTGATGACACCCACTTTTCAGAGGGGAATTTAAAACCTGGAAAATATGGTCTTAACCAAAGATTCCCTGCCTGCCTGTGGTAACCACATATCCCAGACGTTCTGGGAAAGTCTTTCCAGTTTCCAGATCATGCACACTGATTTTTGGTCCAGAAACCACTATAACCAACCAATATAGGTCACATGAAAGACACATGTCAGACAGACACCCTTTGTGCAGTAAGATTCGGTGAGAGTCTACTATTGCCCACTACTTCAAATTCAGATTTTTTTACTTGTAATTTTTTGGTTATTCCTTATGCTAGTTGAGTTTGAGAGCTCAGTTGAAGGGAACTGTGATATCGTGAGATTTGGTCTTCATCAGGTTACCTAGCATACAACTCCAAAAGTCTTTGGAATCAGATAAATATCTGTTTGTATGCTAATGAGTTGACAAATGTCCGGCAGCCCCTTAGGTATCGTTAGGATGGGATCTGGTTACTGGAAAGACCACGGCAGCATGGAAGGATTGGGACTTTCAGCCCCACCCCCAACCTCAGGGAAGGTGAATGCCGCTGAAGGTAGAGTTGATCACCAATGGCCAATGATTTAATCAATTATGCCTGTGCAATGAAACCTCCATAAAAACTCAGAAAGGACTGGGACATGTGGAGGTTCCTGGAGAGCGGGGTGCCTGAGAGGTCGTGGGAGTTCTGCACCCCTTCCCACACACTTTGCCCCGTGTACCTCTTCCATCTGGTATTCACTGGCATCCTTTGTCATTTATCCTTTCTAATAAACCAGTAAAACTAAGCAAGTCCCTGAGTTCTGGGAGCCTCTCTAGCAAGTTAGTCTAACTCCGATTTACAGCCAGTTGGTCAGAAGTACAAGTAAAACAACCTGGGGCTTGCGATTGACATCCAAAGTGGGGGACAGTCTTGTGGGGCTGAGCCATCAACCTGTGGGATCTGACACTTTCTCCAGGTAGTGTCAGAATTGAACTGGAGGACACCCAGCTGGGGTCCACAGCAGAACTGGTTGCTTGCTTGGTGTGTGGAGAAAACCTCCCACACATCTAGTGTCAGAAATGATTCGTGTTGTGAGAGTATAGGAGATGCTGAATTTGTTTGTGCCTGTATTCAGACAGGAAGACAATTCGTGTTGCTTTTGGATGTGAAATGAGGACAAGGATGAAATAGTGTTTGGCACAAATGTAAACACGATCCACTCTGTAGGCAATTGTGAAGCCTGCCTTTTTCACTTAACATTAGAGCATATAGATTTTCTCATGTCATTAAAGTGGTTTTGTTTTTGTTTTTTGTAACAGAGACTTTGGCAAATTCAAGATAATGTTTACCATTGGCAATGACGGGGAAGGGTGAGGTGGGGAAAGCAGGTAACCAAGGGAGATTTATCGTGTTGGAATGTTCTCTGTCTTAAACTTGGTGCTGGGTACTCTTTTTTGAATGTCCTAAATGTTACATAATAAAGTAGAAATTTAAACACCAAGTTTAATGGTTACTTAATATTTTATTATGTTGGTGAACCATAATTTTCTCAGTTCAAATCCCATCTCCCTATTGTTGGATATTTGTAATTTTCAACTTTGGACTCTTAAATAATATAGTATTAAGCATCTTTGGGTATCAAATTTTGTCTTCATTTGAGCTCCTTTTCTCAGTTTAGATTTATATAATTGAGTTCCAGGGTCAAAGAATATGTCTATAATAAATGCATTTTGTTAGACTATCTTTTAACAAAGCTATATGCGTTGATTATCACTGGCATTGTGCCTATTCTACTCTCTCTCCAACACAGTGTCATTTTAAAAAAATTGCTATTTTGCTAGACGAATATTTATTTTGAATGGTTTTAGTTTATGTTTCTACTTGCCAGTGAAATTGAACATTCTGTCATATAATTTTTCCATTGGAGTTTTTTTCAAATGAGTATGTGTGAGCACAGGTTTTTGCAGATTCACTTGTATGTGAGACCTGTGTGGGAAGGTCTTGTTTATGTCGGGGGGTGGACTACAGATAACAAACAACAGCCCCTTGCCCCCCTCACTGAAAACGAGCTGTGCATCTAGACCTCTGTCTTCCCGCAGTGCCGCCAAGCTCCTGGACAAGAACCCGTTCTCGGTCAGTAACCCGAACCCTCTGCTTCCTTCACCTGCCAGTCTCCAACTGGCTCAACTGCAGGCCCAGCTCACCCTCCACCGGCTGAAGCTGGCACAGACAGCTGTCACCAACAACACTGCGGCCGCCACAGTCCTGAACCAAGTCCTCTCCAAAGTGGCCATGTCCCAGCCTCTCTTCAATCAACTGAGGCATCCGTCTGTGATCAGCGCCCCCCACGGCCATGCTGGGGTGCCCCAACATGCTGCAACCATACCCAGTACCCGGTTTCCCTCTAATGCAATTGCCTTTTCACCCCCCAGCCAGACACGAGGTCCTGGACCCTCCATGAACCTTCCCAATCAGCCCCCCAATGCCATGGTGATGCATCCTTTCACTGGGGTAATGCCTCAGACCCCTGGCCAGCCAGCAGTCATCTTGGGCATTGGCAAGACTGGGCCTGCTCCAGCTACAACAGGATTCTATGAGTATGGCAAAGCCAGCTCTGGCCAGACATATGGCCCTGAAACAGATGGTCAACCTGGCTTCCTGGCAGCCTCGGCCTCAACCTCGGGCAGCGTGACCTATGAAGGGCACTACAGCCACACAGGGCAGGATGGTCAAGCTGCCTTTTCCAAAGATTTTTACGGACCCAACTCCCAAGGTTCACATGTGGCTGGTGGATTTCCAGCTGAACAGGCTGGGGGCCTGAAAAGCGAGGTCGGGCCACTGCTGCAGGGCACAAACAGCCAATGGGAGAGCCCCCATGGATTCTCTGGCCAAAGCAAGCCTGATCTCACAGCAGGTCCCATGTGGCCTCCACCCCCCAACCAGCCCTATGAGCTGTATGACCCCGAGGAACCAACCTCAGACAGGACACCTCCTTCCTTCGGGGGTCGGCTTAACAACAGCAAACAGGGTTTTATCGGTGCTGGGCGGAGGGCCAACGAGGAACAGGCGTTGCTCTCTGTGCGGCCCCTGCAGGCTCAGGAGCTGAACGACTTTCACGGTGTGGCCCCCCTCCACTTGCCACATATCTGTAGCATCTGTGACAAGAAGGTGTTTGATTTGAAGGTGAGTTGTCCAAGACAGGCTGGGAGCCACAGCTAGAAGCCTGGGCAGGCCTTTCCCCACGACCCAACTCACGCTGCCAGTGGGCAAGGAACTTTTGCATTGGGGTAACAGAATTTTGCCATCAGTATTCTTGACTAAAATCATAGGTATTAGGACCCAAAGGAATTTCAGAAATGTATCAGGACCAGTCCCTTGCTTGAAGGTGAGTCAGAAATGCTTACATACTTTTTATAGATGAGAAAGCTGAGACTGAGTAGGGGAGCAAAGGACCTCATCTGGGTTGCAGAGGACGGGCTCAGGAACTCGAGTTTCCTGCCTTCTTATGGAGCGCTTCTCCCCCGTGGTATACCTAGAAGCTACTGCCCCTTGAGTACCCATACTGTAGTGAGTTAGAAAGGAAATAAAGCAGAATTTTGGATCAGAGGAAACAGGTTAATTCCCCCTTGGAACCAAGACAAGTTATTATAGAGAGCCTCAGGTTCCTCATCAGGAAAATGGAGATAGAGCCTCATGACACCTTCCTGGTGGTTGGAAAATGCCTTGAGTTGCTGCACACAGAGGTGTATGATAGTATAATTTCCCCCCAAAAAATGTATTGCAGGTGCAGTGAAATATTTTGAAGCAACAAAAATTATAACAATTACGATATATTAAACCATTTTTGTGTGCCAGCAGTAACTCTTATGAGGCAGATGTTATTATGATTTTCATTTTACAGATGAGAAAACTGAGGCCCAGAGAGATGAAATGACTTTCTCAGCCCCTTCCCCTGCCACCTCCCCAGCTTGAAAGTGGCAGAGTGGAGATTCAAATGTGGGCCTGACCCTTCTAGAACCTGCACCATTTGAGCACTGGGCTGCCCCGCCTCCCATCTCTTATCCTGTCCAAAAGCATAATAATGTCCTTGCAGAGTGTGAGTCACACTGCAGCATGTCATTCACCTCTATTGGGGTCACATCATCCAAACGCATCCCTGTGACCCAGATGGGACATGCCCTCTGACCTCCAGCCTTGGAAGGGGGCGGGCTGACACTGGGAGGTGCTCAAGGATTTTGTCTCTCATGAACCTTTTCTAAGGCTTTGTAAGTCGCTGTGAGTCTACCTGCCGGATTCTCCCAACTGGATATGAAATAGATGGGGTCTTCCTGGGGGAAAGGAGAAGGGGTGGGAGGTGGGAGGTAGGTTGTGAGTGCAAGGGTCCATTGAGAGGGGTAGAGGGAGTCCAACTTGTGAGTCCGGGCTCCTGTTCAAGATGGGCATGAGATGTGTGGATGAGGAGCCGATGGAGCAAAGGCTGGATGGGGAGGCAGGAACAGCGGGAGGAGCCTGGGAGGGAGAGTAGGAGGGTGGGGCATGTGTCCGCAGGGGTGGTCCAGCCTCTGGGAGCTCTGTGCTCCCTGCCTGGCCAATGACTCTGTGCTCATCCTTTGCCTTCCCATGGACTCAGTTCTACTTTGGTCACTTTTTTTTCCTTCTGACCTAGGACTGGGAGCTGCATGTGAAAGGGAAGCTACACGCTCAGAAATGCCTGGTCTTCTCTGAAAAGTAAGTGCAGTTCAGGAGGACAGGCTCATGCATCGGCTCAACACATATTCACTGAGCATTTACTGTGTGTCACACGCTGTTTCGAGTCCTGGGGCAATAGCAGAGACCAGAACAGGCAAAGTTCCTGCCCTCAAGGAGCTTATGCTTCACAGGGGCCAGAGAGATGATAAACAAAATGAACAAGAAAATTACAGCATCCCTGGTGGTAAATGCTAAGCAGAAAACGCCGGGTAGAGGCGGGAAGTGTGTGTGTGCGCGCGTGTGCCTCCCTTTTCTGGCTTTCCTATTTTTTCATTGTAGTCAAGTTCACATAGGACTTACTATTTTAAATATTTTGAAATATACAATTCAGTGGCATTTAGCACATTCACAAGATTGTGCAAATGTTACCACTCTCTAGTTCCAGAATATTTTCATTACTCCAAAAGGAAACCTCATACCTATTAAGCAATCACTCCCTATTCTCTCTAAGCCAGCCCCTGGCAACCACCAATCTGCTTTCTGTCTCTATGGATTTGCCTGTTCTGTACATTTCTGTAAATGGAATCATATAATATGTGGCCTTTTGTGACTGGCTTTTTTTTTTACTTAGCATAATATTTTCAAGGTATATCCATCCATATTGTAATATGTACAACCTTTCTATGGCTGAACAATATTCTATTACATGTATATATCACATTCTTGTTTATCTATTCATCTTTTGATGGACATTTGGATTGTTTCCACCTTCTGACTATTGTGAATAGTGCTGCTAGGAACATTTGGGTACAGTTTTTGTTTGAACACCTGTTTTCAACTATTTGGGGGTCTGTACCTAGGAGTGGAATTTCTGGGTCACATGCTAATTCTTTGTTTAACTTATTGGGGAGCCGGTTTCCCTTTCTCGCCCTCTCCAGTGCTGGCATCCGGTGTATACTTGGTTCGGCAGAGGGAACATTGTGTGCTTCTCCTAACAGCACAGCTGTTTATAGCCCTGCTGGGAATGAAGGTGAGCGAGGCCCTACAGGTCAGCAGCTTGAAGCAGAAATGGGCTTCCCACAGGCACATTATGTCCCATCTTTAATAACCAGGACTTCCCTGATGTCCCCTTCTTATGCATATAGAAAGCAAACAGATCCCAAGACACTAAAATGCACTGGGCCTGCTGTCTGGAGCCATCAGTATTCTCTGAGATACTTTAGGCATAAAGCTTTGCTGATTATCAGCATGTCCAGAGGTATAGTCACGTCGATCACTAATAATATGTGAAGGGGAAAGGTTCGGTTTTCTATGCCTGCTTATGTCCTAATAATGACTTCTGATGTTAAGTTCTGGGTTTTCATCGAGTTTGTGTAATTCGTCATTTAGATTATGCCTCAAATCTTGGAACATCATACGTGCCCATTCCAGCAAGGTCATTTGCTCAGTCAAGCCCCACATTTCCTTTGGCTTCTGCGGGGACAACTGTGAGTACAGAAACATTTTCTCCAGAAATTAATGAAAATGATTATTAGTTTATTTATTTGTTTGTTTATTTATCTGAGACAGCCAGGCTGGAATGTCGTGGTGCAATAGTATGTCACTGCAGCCTTGAACTCCTGGCCCCAAGTGATCTTCCTGCTTCGGTCACCCAAAGTGAGCCACGATGCCCTGCCTCAAATACCTCTCTGTCTGCCAGTCACCCTGAAATGCTTGTTGCTTTTCCCGGCACTGTGTTCTTCATGCTCGGTATGCACCTGACATGCCACAGACTGGGAGGATGTTAACATCTTTTTCGCTTAAAGAATAAAGAGTTGGCCGGCTTTTGAGGTCTAGACCCATTTATACCTTGTACCCTTCAATTTTCCACTCTGGGAATCACACTCTCTAGTTTCCAAGATGACATCACCAGAAGTGAGGCGAGCATGTGACTCAGGCAGCCAGGGAGATCGTCACACTTTCTGGCCATAGATTGGTTCATGAATGGTGTGTGCCTGTAGTCTCAGCTACTTGGGAGCCTGAGGCAGGAGAATCACTTGAACCTGGGAGGCAGAGGTTGCAGTGAGCCGAGATCACGCCACTGCACTCCAGCCCAGGTGACAGAGCGGGACTCCGTCTCAAAACAAACAAACAAAAACCCATTTTCTCCATTGTCATTGTTGTCCTCAAGCATTTGTATGGGCCTAGAGGTGCTGATCTGGCTTTGTGTCGTTCAGAAAAACATCCCCAGACAGAAGTTAAGAGCTGTTTAATCCAGTAATGGAAACACATGACTTAAGAAGCTGACATAAATCCTTAAAATTGAAGGCATTCCTGGACTTTCTAGCATTCAGCGCTGGCTTAGAAGAAAATAAGTTTGAGCTTTTTATGTTTTTTTTAAGACTATTTGATGTTTTATTGAAGTGGGTTATTTCCTAGGAGAGGGTAATTTTGAAGCTCGAACCAGAAAGCGTGTGAAAATAAGGACTATGCACCGAAGCATTTGTTGGCCCCTTGAGGAACCAGTTGGTGCTGTATACTATTTTTGTTTGTTCGTTTTTAGTTTTGCTGTCTCTACAATATACACTTTAGTCCTCCAAAGCTCCTAAGCTTCGTCTCTCCTTTTTCACCAATGGTGACAGCTCCTCTTCTCTCTGGGGTTTCAGTTGTTTTGTGCCACCACCCTACCCCCCATCTGACTTCTCTTCTTCTTCCCTGGGCAGGAGAAAGGGGAGTGGGAGGAAAGCTGACTGTAGAACAAATGCATTTGTCTGAACCCTCTGGAGGGCACCTGTTTGTATGCCTTAGCCTGTGCCTGTGTTTTTGTGGTGTGAGTTGCTGCAGCCTTTCTCTCTTGTCCTGCGAGTGAACACAAACTCACAAGAGCATGTCTCCACGTGCTGTCCCCTCTATGTGTTGGCATGCAAAACATCAGGCCAGTAAGCCATGAAGTGCAGCTCTCAGGCTCTGGGAAGTGAGTAAGTGGAAAAGCGAGGTGGTTCGTGATGAGATGTGAGGCCTGCTTAAGCCCAGGCTTCTGTTTATTCGTGTGCATTGATTTGTAATGTTGAATAGGAGAAGCGCTTTGAGAGAGTCCCTGTCTAGAAGCCCACATTTTGGTGAAAGAGAATTTTGTGGTTTCCTTCTCTGCACTCTGCTCACTCAGAGCCACGCCCAGGCCAATGGCAGCTTCGGGTCAGTCCCAGGAGACTGCAATGGCTAGATTCAGTGAGGCCTGTCCTCTGAGGTCAGATTCCTGGTGACATGACCTCTTGTCCTGATGGAGGTGTGGGCCATGGAGGAACTTCTGTGCTCACAACCCTGCCCTGAGACCCCACTCCAGGCACTGAAGGGGAGGGACTGTGACCACGATGGGGGAGGCTGGATCGGGTGTCAGGTGGGCAGGGACCAGGGCTTGTAAATTGACTCCAGCCTGGGATATGGGTACGGGGAAGAGATGGCATCAGCTGAGCCCCTCTGTAAACCGGGGTGGATAGGGAGAAAGAGACACAGGCAGGACATTCTGCAGTCTGTCCCAGGCCTCTTCCCCACCCTCCAGTGCTGCCCATTGAGCCAGAGACCCTTTCCTATGGACTTGGCTCTAGGGACGTAAGTTCAAGTCCTACTTCTGGAGCCACTTGCTGTGTGTCTCCAGGCAAGTCACGTTACTTCTCCAAGGCTCTGTTTCCTTAAGTGGGAACAATAATGCCTTTGGAAGATAAAGTAAACAACTGGATTTTCATCCAGCTTGTGTAATTTATTGTTTTGATTATTCCTCGAATCTCAGAACATCCCATGCAGCCCTGCAGCCCAGGCTTCTGGGTCAGTGGCCAGCACCAGACAGTGGGAGCAAGCCTTGGCATAGACCCAGTATTGTCTTGCCCTTGTGAGGATCAAATGAGATAATATAAGGGACAATGATTTGGGAACTGTCAAGTACATATGAAGTAACCATGGCTGTTGTTGAGTAACGAGCACTTTTAACCCATTTTGGCTGTGAAGAGTGGAGGGGAACCCACCCTGTTTAAGGCTGGCTCTGTCTGCTGGCTATAGGATTTTGGCTGTGAAGAGTGGAGGGGAACCCACCCTGTCTAAGGCTGTCTCTGTCTGCTGGCCACAGGATTTTGGCTGTGAAGAGTGGTGGGGAAACTCACCCTGTCTAAGGCTGGCTCTGTCTGCTGGCCATAGGATTTTGTCCAAGTCTTGGTATCAGTGTTCCCCTTATACAAATCTGTCTAGTAATACCCAGGGTCACCCTTGCTCCACCTTAGAGATATTTTGAGGTTCCCATGAATGTATTTTTAAATTACGCACCAGTGGGCAAGCACAAGCAATCTGATGATTTGTGTGTTGATTCTAATTAATTCCTAGGAGCTCTGAGTGCAACTTCCTCCAAACGCCTAGAGATGGGGAGTTTATCTGACTTGAGCCTGGTGAGAAGCAACACAAGAAACATTTTGCTAGGAGCTAGGAGGTGACAGAGACCTAGGGGACAGCTCTCTGCTAGAGCTAAGAGGGGAGAGAGAGCTAACATTTTGGAAGCTAGGAGGGGACAGAGAGCCCCAGACATTGTAGGATGATAATAACAACAATAGCCAACATTTATGTAGTGCTCAATATGTTCTTAGCATTTTTATTTTGTATTAGCTCATATAATCCTCTAGACAATCCTGTGAGGTGGATACTATTATTATCCTTATTGTACAGTTGGGAAACTGAGGCCTAGAGAAGCTGAGTACCTTATCTAAGGCCACATAGCTGGTAATTGGAGGTGGTGGGATTTAAACCTAGGCGGCCTAGTTCTGGAAGCCTCATTTGTAACCACTAAGCCCTGTAGCCTCTCTGCAAGGATCTGAGGGGTCTCTTCCTTGCTGTGATCCTTCTCTTTAGTAAGCCCCTCTCACCTCCTCCTCCCCCTGCCCCACAAGCCGCTTGGGAGGTTCGGAGGCTGCGTTGGAGGTGACAGGGACTTCTCTGGCCTTGGCCACTCAAGGATCAACATGAAGAGGCCAGCCACACCTGGTATCCACATTTCTTCTGCACTCTGACAGCATCTGCCAAGATGAACTTAGATGTTTGGAGGCTTTTTCTACAGACCCTGTGGAAGGGGGGAATCAGCATTTGTCTGGTTTTATCATTATAACTTCTGTGACATCTTGCTGGTCACATGAGCCTCCCCAAGGCTATCTGAGGGACAAGGACAAAGCCTGCCCCAGCCAATCCCTACACTGTCAGTGGCTTGATGTTCACTCACATCCTTCTGTCAGATGCTGGTCCCCCGGTTTGCCATTGCCAGCAAATGGAATTGAATGCAGGTGTATCTGTCTTGAGGAAAACCTGAAATGCAAGAACATTGACATTTGAAGACAAGCTCAGAAATGGAGAAATGATTAATCCACTCTTGAAAAATACTTTGCAAGGCTCCTTTAAGTAGCAGGAGAGTCTCTCAGAGAAACTATTGATTTTCTTTCTGCCTACAAACACTGACCTCCAAAGATATTACCCCAAAGATAAGGGGTGATTAGTCTGTTGCCAAAGGATATTTTTCCAGGTTCCAATGAGTGCCCAGTGAGTTGTTTTTGCATATACATTTCTATTGTTTTTCTGCTTACAAAACTTATGCTTATTGTGAAAATGCAAACAGAAACGAAATAATGAGGGGAATGAAATTCCCTGGTTATCTGCCTTTCAGCCCCCATAGAGATCCCATTTTCCTCCACAAGTGAGGTCTGGTCCTGTGCCAGCACTTTTTATGTCTGATTCCATTTACATACATCTTTTCGGAAACACATTTTGTTGAGTGAAACCAGGAACAGCCAGGACCCCGCCACTATCTGATCAGATCACTAATGTCTATGGAGCAAAGAGCAGTTACTGCCTCTAAAGCTCCCTGTTTTTAAGCAAGAGAAAATCAAAGTGACACGGAGCTCTGGAAATGAGCCTTCAGAATATATCCGAACTGCCACAAAATCTAAAAGGACCGCAAATACCATCTGCCCCTGCCACCAAGCCCTTCTGGGGACAGACTTGGCTGCATTTAAACTTCTCTCACCTCTGTTGGAGTCTGAGTGTTTCATTGCCTTGTTTGTTTATTATTTTTGTTTGGGTTTTTTTCTCATTTTCTTTTCCTTTTTATTGTTATTTATATATGTATTTATTTATTGAGATAGGGTCTCGCCGTGTCACCCAGGCTGGAGTGCAGTGGCGTGATCATGGCTTATTGCAACCTCCACCTCCTGGGCTAGAGTGATCCTCCTACTTTAGCCTCCAAGTAACTGGAACTACAGGCATGCGCCACCAGGCTCAGCTAATTTTTGGAGAGACAGGGTGTCGCCATGTTGCCCAGGCTGGCGTGTTTATTTTTGACAGAGATGGGACACTGCACTGACAGTTGTACGCTGTGTTTGCTGGTGGTGGGGTGATTTGTGTCTGTCCCCCGCCCCTCCCATCCCACTCCAGGGTCCCCAGAGATGGGTGTTCACTTTCACTTAAGCTTCTGCCATTTGAG